GAAAGACAGGAATGAGAGCTAAACTGTCCTGAACACACCTTATTTTGTAGTTTTGGCTTTAGAATCATGTAAAATTTTATATAATTGTAAAACAAAATTATAATCGTAGATAAAGATCCTAAAAACTGAAAGCAAAATGGAGCAAATGAACCTGATAGTTTTATGGTGTAGAGATCTAACTATGGGGTAGAAGCTAAGATTTTTAAAATATGAGTTACCATCCACAGAGAGATCTAACTTATGGAGAAAAAGAACTTAAAAATTAACAACTTTAAAAATTCATACCAGAAAGCAAGGAAACTACTAAACACTATTAAATTTAAACAAAAGAAACCAATAGCCAATTGGTTAACTATGGAACAATTCACATTTTCAAAGACATAATAACAACAAAAATAATTGAGTATATTAAAAAAATCCATGAATTCTTTTTTTTTAATTTTATTTATTTATCTTTAGAAGGGAAGGGAAGGAGAGAGGGAGAGAAATATCAATGTATGGTTGCTTTTCGTGTGTCCCCTGCTGGGAACTGGCCCCTGCTAGGAACTGGCCTGCAACCCAGGCATGTGCCCTGACTGGGAATCGAACCGCCATCTTTTGGTTTGCAGGCCCATGCTCAATCCACTGAGCTACACCAGCCAGGGAATTCTTAATAATATTGGGGGACCTCACTAGTCACCTATGGAGGATGCTACAAAAGTAATTTGTTATTCTGAAAATTGGTAAAAAGGGCCAAATAAACCATATTCTACCTTTTGTGTACAAATCATACCTCAGCAAACAAAACAGTTATTGAAGTCCTTCTTTACAAAAGAACTCTGAATAGTAAATAACAAAGAGATGATAGTGTCAGAGAAACACCACTTTGGAAACCCCAATGAAATAATGAATCTAGGCAATGTTCCTCCATGAGAGCTAACACCGTATGAGAGCACCAGTACGTGTAAAGCTTTCTTGCTAGAAAAGAGACCTGAAGCTGGTCAGGCTTCAGCTACCTGTTAATAGAGAATATAGAATGTGAGTAATGCTATGAAACTAACCAAACTTGTATCTCCAAAAAGTAAATGGCAAGGATGAAAAAAAGATGAATAGGCAACTAACAGATTAAAAGAGACTTCGGAGACATTTCCATCTCTTGCAATGTTTAAACCTTATTTCGATCATAGTGAAAAAAAACATAAATTAGACAGACAATCAGCACATGTGAGTAGTAGCAAAATATTTGATTGAAAGGAAGCTTAGTTTACATTTTTAGATATGACCATGGGTTTGTTGTCTAATCTCTAGAAAGATTCCTTACCTTCAAGATACATACTGAATATTTTGGGATGAAATAATATGATGTTTCATGAAAGGACACATCAAACTTTTGTTGGCCTTAGACACTTTTTGCTAATAGATTTTTGTAAATCTATTACAAAATCTATTTGTAATAGATTTTGGGGATCCTAAATATGGCCTTGTTTTTTAATGTGAGAAAAGATTAAGACATTTTATTTCATCTTACAAGTTCATTTTTTCCTTCTGATTTTAAAAGCAATTAAAATATTTCTGTAGTTTCTTACAAGTGTCATGGGCTCTGGCACCACGTTTGTTGTGCCCAAGGGTGAGTCTGTCCTGATCCGGGATTTGCTTCAGAATGATCCAGTGATGGAGAAAGAGAGAAGAAAGAAGATTTGTGGGGCAAAAGAGAAAAGAACATATAAAGTTTCAAAGACAAACATTGGCAATGCCCATGTAACCCTTTCCATGGGATTTGGTGCCTTGAAAGACTGACTGGAATGTTTAGTCTGCCTAATGGCCTTATACTCCTGTTGTGGAGACAGATGCCCCAAACTTTTAGAGTCTGAAGCCATTAGTCATTGCCATTGTCCAGCATCCCTGGTTTTGCTCTCTGGCTACCACAGCAAGCTTCTGACAATTGTCTGCCCTATGGCCTGCCCACACAGAGAAAATGCCCTGGTGAGGCTGAGGTGAATGTTAATTTGGCTTGATGGTCATGCTTCTCGTTCAATGTTAATCAACTCTACGATTAACACTGATAATACATCCAAGCTTCTGGACTTCTAAGGTAGAGAGAGGGCCAGACCACAGACCATAAGCAATGTCTGCTGGAAAGCTCTCTTCTGGCATTCAGCCTATTGCCTTCCTTTGGCCATCCTGACTCTTACAACGCATCTTTTTAAATTTTTTAATTTATTTGTTGTTCAAGTACAGTTTTCTGTCTTTTACTCCCATCCCAGCCCACCTTCCCCAGTGCTCCCCACCTCCCTCCCATTTTTGCCCCCCTTAGTTGTTGTCCATGTATCCTTTATACTTGTTCCTGTAAATCCTTCCCCTTTCCCCCCTGAAATTCCCTCCCCTATCCCCTCTGGTAACTGTCAGCCTGTTCTCTATTTCAGTGTCTTTGGTTACATTTTGCTTGCTTGTTTGTTTTGTTGTTTAGCTTTCTATTAAAAGTGAGATCAGATGGTATTTGTCTTTCACTGCCTGGCTTATTTCACTCAGCATGCTTTCCAGTTCCATCCATGCTGTTGCAAAGGGTAGGAGCTCCTTCTTTCTTTCTGCTGTGTAGTATTCCATTGTGTAAATGTACCATAATTTTTTGATCCATTCATTTACTTATGGGCACCTAGGTTACTTCCAACTCTTGGCTATTGTAAATTGTGCTGCTATGAACATTGGGGTGCATAGGTTCAAGGAAATAAAAGGCATCCAAATTGGAAAGGAGGAAACAAAACTGTCATTGTTTGCAGATGACATGATAGTGTACATGGAAAATCCTATAGACTCTACCAAAAAACTGCTCAACCTAATAAATGAATTTGGCAAAACAGCAGGATACAAAGTCAATATCCAGAAATCAAAGGCATTTTTGTATACCAGCAATGAAACAGCAGAAACAGAAATCAAGAAAAAAATCCCATTTGATATAGCAAAAAGAAAAATAAAATACCTAGGAATAAACCTAACCAAGGAAGTAAAAGACCTGTATGCAGAAAACTACACAACACTGAACAAAGAAATCAAGGAAGACACAAACAAATGGAAACATATACCATGTTCATGGATTGGAAGAATTAACATCATCAAAATGTCCATACTACCCAAAGCAATTTACAGATTCAATGCAATATCTATTAAAGTACCAATGACATACTTCACAGACATAGAACAAACACTTCAAAAATTTACATGGAACCATAAATGACCCTGATTAGCAGCTGCTATTTTGAGAAAGAAGAACAAAGTAGGAGGGATCACAATACCTGATACCAAATTGTATTACAAGACCACTATAATCGAAACAGCCTGGTACTGGCATAAAAACAGACATATAGAACAATGGAACAGAACACAGAGCCCAGAATTAAACTCAAGTCTCTATGGTCAATTAATATCCGACAAAGGGGGTAGCAACATAAAATGGACTAAAGATAGCCTCTTCAACAAATGGTGTTGGGAGAACTGGACAGCTACATGCAAAAAAATGAAACTTGAGCACCAACTTACACCATAAACCAAAATAAATTCAAGGTGGATAAAAGACTTAAATATAAGCCGTGACACCATTAAAGCCCTAGAGGAGAACATTGGCAAGAAAATCTCAGATATTTCACACAGCAACATTTTTACTGATATGTCCCCTAGAGCAAGGGACATAAAGGAAAGAATAAACAAATGGGATCTCATCAAAATTAAAAGCTTTTGCATGGCTAAAGAAAACAGTATTAAAATAAAAAGAGAACCAACTATATGGGAAAACATATTTGCCAATGATACCTCAGACAAGGGTTTAATCTCCAAAATATACAAAGAACTTACATGACTCTACTCTAAGAAGACAAGTAACCCAATTAAAAAGTGGGCAAAGGACTTGAACAGACACTTCTCCCAGGAGAACATACACAGGATCCAGAGACACGTGAAAAGATGCTCAGTATCACTAGCTATCAGAGAGATGCAAATTAAAACCACAATGAGATACCACTTTACACTGGTCAGAATAGCCATCATAAACAAAGCAACAAACAACAAGTGTTGAAGAGGTTGTGGAGAAAAGGGGACCTAATCCATTGTTGGTGGGATTGCAGACTGGTACAACCACTATGGAAAACAGTATGGAATTTTTCTCAGAAAACTAAAAATGAACCTGCCTTTTGACCCAGCAATTCCACTGCTAGGATTATATTCTAAGAACCCTAACACCAATCACAATGCATCTTCTCTTTCAATTTCTATATTCCCATGATATTCAAAATACATTTGTGGTCAACTGAAAAAAATTGGTGGTAATACTTTGAAACTCCTCCCACCAAGAGGTAGAGTCTATTTCCTATTACCTCCCTCCTTGAATCTAGGGTGGCCATATGACTTGGTTTGGCCAATAGAATGTGGAGGAAGTGACCATGTATGACCTCAAGAGACCTCATGGCTTCTGCTCCTGGTCTTTTGGAATCCTGAGGCTGCTCTGTATATAAGGCCAAGCTAGCCTGCTAGAAGATGAGAGACAAATGGCCCAACCGCCCCAATCATTCCAGCTCATGTGCAGCTGACTGCGAATGTGTGAGGAAGTCTAAGCAAGACCAACAGAAGAACCTCCTAGGTGAGCTCAACTTGCCAATGCACAGAATTTTAAGCTAAATAAATGGTTATTACTTTACGCTACTAAATTTTGGGATAGTACATTATACAACAGTAGATAATCAGTATTTGTGTTTTTAATAACTCCCCATTATGCCCTGGTTATTGCTACAATTTGTCTCTGAGAAGCCGTAAGATTTGCCTCTTGACGTAACAAAATTTGGATTTATCTTAGGCTAGCTCATGAGCTTCAATGGCTATAGCAGAAAAAAGAGCCCCTGCTTTTTCCAAAAAGATGCTAAGGGATTTGGTTAAATGGTATGGAAAATTTTGGGTTTGCCAACGCCCACTTGAGGAGAAAGAGAAGGGTTAAATACATAAAAACTGCATTTCTCAGACATAGATAGATTTCTGACCTTCAGCCGGCGGTCTGGATCTCCACTGCATAGGGAATTTACCGATACTTTGAATGACTTCCAGGCTGGGCTTAAGTTGTTCATCACAACCTAAGAAGAAAGAAAGAGAGGGATGGTTGTTGGGGGGAGGAAGTGCATGACATTTTCACACTTCAACATAAAAACTTCTTAAGAAGCATTGTGGCACTTACAAAAAGGACAATTTATGGAATGGGTGCCTTAATAAAAACCTGGAGTAGTGAGTTTTTTAAGCGTGTCCATGAAAGTAGGTCATTATGGGCAGAACTCCTGTGACCACTGGCCTGCCTGCTGATTTAAGAATAACAACAGTAATACTATCCAGTATGTATATACTGGGGATGAGCCATTCTATATAAAGAGGAGTTGGAATCAATAAGGTGGGGCTGCCTCTGGCTTCTGATAAAAGATCCTCTGCTCTGGAGGACTGACAGTCCTATGGCATAAATTCTTTCCTACTGAGGTCAGCCTAGCCAAAGGCTATTGGTGGGTGTGGGGACGGGGCAGGACAATTCTGCTGCTGAAGAACTGAATGATCTTTGGTAACCCATGACCTTGAATTAGGTCAGACTGCAAACCAGAAGAGAAGTTTCTAAAAGAAAATTTCCAGGAGATACTTACTCTAACTCTCCTAAGAAATACAGGGCAGATGCTTAGATCTTCAGTGCTACAAACTAAGTCTATAATATAGTGAAACCATGTTAAAAGCAGCGTACTAATCATGAACTTGGTTAAATCCTGCCTGAGGGTCCATATATGTCAAGTCTTATCCTGTCATCACTATGATTCAAATAATTCACTTTGTTTTAGAATGTATGAGTGTCTCTCTGAGACTGTATTGTGTACTCTAGTGCAGGGGTTTCCAAAGTGAGATTCCCAAATCAGCAGGCACAGTATCACTTGGGCACTTGTTTAAAATGCAAATTTCTAGGCTCCACTCAGACCTACAGACAGGAGCTTTGGAGAGTGGGCACCCCTAGGTAACTCTGATGTGTGTAACCACTGCTGGTCTTAGAATTGTAAAAAAAAAAAATCTCTATCCAAATAACATAATTATTTTATAAGTGATATTCTCTTCTACTGGATTCCTTAATGTAACTATGAATTATTCATTATTATAATTATTCCCGATCATGGGCTTACTATTAAATTTCTCTTAATTCACGAAAGTGGAAAAATAATTTTCCTGTGTGACTTTGTCTTGGGATGATCAAGGTGATCGTGAGAAGAAGAGTTAGATAAAATTGTCTGGGTTAGTTCAGAATTCTTACCTCTATATGGAAATTTTAAGAAGTGAAGATGTTTCATCATAACAGTTTTGAAAAATGCATTAGCAAATCAAAATTTCAACCAGAAATTTTCTCTGTAATTAAAATGGGGGACGTGCATGCCCACAAGGAAAAATCAGTGTTGTGTTGCTTGACTCACTGGAAAAGTTTACAATCCCATTTCTCGTGAGACTCCAGAAGCCCCTCAGCCATGGGGTAACAGGGAGAAGTTCTAGTGATTATTGGGACAGGAGACTTTACCAATATTAATGATGAGAAGAGAAATGCTGTCAGGGGCAAAGGAGAGAAGGACCTTGTGAGAGCAGTCCAATAATACACCGTCCTTCTGTACTCCCAGCACAAGCCTCCATTCACTGGCTGCAGTAAAAGCTTGAATGGATACCACTTCTGATCCTCCCCAAAGTTTATTTACCTCTGTGAAAGCCTGTCCCACCAAAGGAATCTTTAGGTGTGAAAAGATTCCATTCAGTGGTGGGAGACTGTCCCATTTGTATCTCAATCTATTTCCTAGGGATTAAGTTTCAGAGAATCACATTGTGCTATAACATGTAGTGGACACACTATCTACACTCAACTCCATTCATTTATTCATTCTTTTACTAAACACATTTTATTAAATGCCAAATATGCCCTAGATGCTGTCCACAGGTTAGTCCATTCAAGACCATTCAATTCTTGTCTACTTTAAGTGTAGCATATTTGTCTGTCTAATGCTCCCTGCAACTCTGTCACTTCAGGAAAATGGAGCCTGATTTCCAGTGAGTGGTACTGGGAACGCGGCACTCCCAGTATCATCCTACAAGTCACAAGGGCTCCTTCTTCCTTTGCCCCACCACTGGTAAGCACATTAGAGTCTTCTCCAAGCCAGTCATCAAAATTACCCCACTTCCTCCTTATCAATGTACTTCTCACTCCCACAGAATCTCTCTTAGACTTGTTTACAAATAAAATTAAAAAATAGAGATTGGGATTGGTTATTGAGTGGTGTGTAGCAGTGGGTAGTGGGCAGTTGGATAGTGAAGCATAAGTGGAGTCTCATTGAGAAAGGGGAAGGTGAGAGGGAGATGCACCTGGACCAAGCGGCTGCTGAGACAGGGCAGCTGTCCACATGGGAAGCTGGTGAAGTGCATGAACTTTCCCTGAGGAGGCAAGCTGCCTTTCCAAATTACAGTGAAGCTCAGGGTCAAAGAAATTCCATGCAAACTCCAGCTGTACCCCTTGAACTGTGAGACTGGGAAAGTGACTTGACCTCCCAAAAGTTCAGTTTATTCAACTACAAAATGGGGATAATAATAACCATGGCAAGGGATTGTCGTGAGAAATAAATAAAATAATGCATAGAAAATCACCTAGAACAATGCTTAGCACCTAGTCACTTTCATTAAATGCTCATATTTTTTATTATTAATAAGTTGCTGGCTATCTGCATTGAAGGACAATAATGAAAAATTTGAGTGAGAGAGGATCTTCTCTTCTGGTATCTAAATGAGAATAAAGAGTCCTCTTGAGAAGAATGAGGACTCCGTGTCTGAGCACATAGCTACAGATATTAAGGAATGAAAGGGGTTTCTCAAAACAGGTCAATTTGTCATCTTTAGGAATGAGATGGCATAGCTGAAGATGACTCTTCTCACCTCAGTTCGATGTACAAGCTGCTGAGTTGCATCATCGTTCATACGGAAAATTTCCAGAAAGGGGTCAGATTTACTGAAGAAATCCTAAAACAGACACATAAACACAAATGAGTTGTGTCCATTCTTCTGCACAAATATATCTAATTCATCCCTGGATCAAATATCCCTGGATTTGATCCTTCCCCATTTTACTCCTCATTCCTGTGATCCAGCCTTGGCTAGAATGAACAGTTCTGAACTCCACGTCCTTTGAGAAGTAAGTCTTTTGTAAAGACCAATGTATTCTTTAAAGACCAATTTAAATGCCAGTTCTCTGAGAAGCAATGTAGCTGCTGTCTTAAACATGTTAATTGTAATTACTGTAAAGCCCATGTCTGAGGTCTACAGTATCTTGATCACCTATGGGTCCGTTTCTATTACCTATTTCTTAGTTTTGCCTCTTGGTATACTTGCTAACTTTTAAATACCAGACACTGTGTAAAAAAAGATTATAAAGCCTTTAGATGAGTTTGTAGCTTCTGGCAAAGGCACAATATATTCCTTGATTCCTCTACTGCTTGGGTATATTCTTAAAGGGCTCCAATTAAAAGAGTGGGTGTTTATGAGGGCTATTCCCCCTTGACAAGCTCTTGAGGCCAATTTCTATTTGCAAGACCCTCCAAGGCTATTTATCTCCATACTCTCTTGGTCCTAGCTCTTTGTTCGGTTTCTCTCTGTGACATTTGCTCATTAGTGAATGCCTTGAGAGACATCACTCAGACTGTTGGATACTTCCTTTCTCTGAAGTATCTCTAAAGCTTTAGCCACAGCTCTCTCAGTAGCCCTGAACTTTAGTAATGGTTGCTTACCCAGTTCCATGGGACTACCAGAACCTTTGCTCAGTTTCTCTATTTCTTACTAGACATTTCTGCTAGGCTTCCCATCTTTTTTATCCAAAGTGTTTTTTTACTAATCAGCCTTGAGCAATTGCCTTCTGTGGAAAATCTGAATAGGGTAACTGATTCACCTCAATGAATTTTTTCTTGTCTCAAGTCTTTCTTGGCTCATCGAATCTTGGCTGCCTTAGGACTTCCAAACAGATGTTTCTTGTATCTTATCCAGAGTTTATAGTTATTTACAATGGGAGAATTATGCGAAACAAATAGATACTTTATTACTGGAAGCAGACCTAATCCATATTCTTCTTTTAAACTTTTTTTTTCCCGATAGATTGTAAACTCTGAGAAAGGAGGAACTGTATCTTATTTTCCTTTATATCTCTATCATTTCTCCAGCATGTTTCATAGTGTCTAGCTTTTAGTGCTACACAGTGCTTACTGAGTGTATGAACCAACAGATAAATTAATGAATGAACGACATGAACACCTGGTAATAGGAAGCTCTCTGAGCAATAGCCTTAGTTATGACACTTATGTATTTCAGCAGGTGATCTCTCCCCTCTCCCCCAAAATCTAGACTGCAGCAATGGAGAATAAAGCCATAGCCATCATGGTCTTAAACTTGACAAAATATTCTTAGGGGATATACTCATCATACAGCCTTTGTGCTTGATGTTAGACTATTAAGAAAGGCTCAAACCTCTTCTTGGGCATCCAAAGAACCATCTAGTTTTGTGGTAAGACAAGTACATAAGTAAACATATCTGAGGGCTAAGTATGAATGAATGAATGAACAGCAGAGAAGAGGGGAAGTTGATGGATTTTGACTGGAAACTATGGTTTTGGGGAGGGTATCTGTAGAGAGGAAACAGACTGAATGAAGGTGTAAAGAGTAAACACAGAGTGGGCACACTGAGTAGCTTAGTTCCCCTGCAGCCCAGGATGTGTAAGGGAGGAATGTGAGACAATGTGGACAAAGCCGGCTCCATGATGTGAGGGGCCTTCAGTGCACATCTGAAGTCGTTGACTTGCCTGGAGAGGCAATGTGAAACCACAGATGGATTCTGAGCAGAACACAACAGTGGCTCTGTAGTGAAGAGTATCACCCTAGAAACTTTGTGCCTTAGAAAGAGAAGAGATGGGGAGTGGTAATAATTATCTTTCCTTTGGCTGTCCTCCCCACCCAACCAGGGACTAAACACCAAACTTCACAACACCCAGAGTCTGGAACATACCCTTCTGTTCTATTTCTGTAGGTGCCTGATTACCACAGCCTTAGTCTTGTCAAGAACCCTCTTGGGCTGCTCTTATTGATAAGTCTGCCCTGTAGACCTTACCTCTCCACCAGAATGATGCCTGTTTTCTTCCTAGACACACAACTAGCTGATTCCCACCTCACTGCATTTACTCAAGACATTTGCCCCGGGGGCCTATTTCTGTTCCAACACTCGTCATAAGAATATTGGAACCTCCTTCTCCCCCACCTTCCCTAATGGATATGGGCCACGTTAGCTTGTTCCTAGGTGCCCTTGGGCTTCTCCGCCAGGAGCTTTAGGCTTTGCCTCCTTTAAATAGTCTGTTGATCCCTCAGGGAACTGTTTGTGAATTGTACTTAAAAGTTGCTGACCCCACTGGTAGAATTCTATTGATTTTTTTCCTTTTTATAATTTAAAAATGTTACCATTTTAATTTAGAAATAGCAAAAAGAGAAAATAGAAAGATGAAAAATAGAAAGAAGAAAAAAATAGCCTATAATCTTACTTTTAATTCTATAACTATCAATAAATTTTGGTAAATATTTTTTCCAGAATCTAGACATAATTTTCTTCCTTTTAAAAGAATATATTTGTAATCATACTCTATATATACTTTAGTGCCCCATTTTTCCCTGGGTAGTATATTGCAATGCTTTTTCTATTTTATTTCATGCTTTCTTAAAACACTATTTAGGGCTAGTACAGAGGTGCTGTCAGAGCATATCAAGGCAAGACAGAATGGATTAAGTCTCTGCTCTCAAGTAACTAAAAATCTAACATGCAGCGCACTGGCTTCAGAACTACTTTCAAGTTCTGACTCCACCGTGCATAATCTGGATGACCCAGGGCAAGGCAGTTCACTTCCTCGTCTCAGTTTCCTATCTATAATTGGAAGAGTATCACCTTTTGCCTCATGGCAACATGAAAGAATTAGAGAAGCTGATGCACATGAAGTGTTGAGTCCAGTCCCTGGCACATGGTGAGCACTCAGAAAGTGTTGCTGCTATGATTATTATCAACACAAGGGAGAATGCTGGAGGACACATTGTAAAGCACTATGCAAGTATTGGGGATGATTATTAGTAAGAAGGCATCTGATCTCTGGAAATAAAACAACTCATAAGGAGCTCTAAAGTATCTTAAGTGTACATTAAGAGATCCATAGTTTAAAAACAACAACTCTGCATCTAATTGTATGCTTACGTGACCACGATCTGGAATTTTTGGCTTTCTTTGCTTGACTATCGGCACTAAGATGGCCCTTGGGACAGTTTAGTACAATATTGTGAATTATGTAGATATTTTACTGAAGTTTTGCTATGGTGAAGTTTTTAAATAATTTGGATGTCACATTACTCTGCCTTTTTAGTCCAAAATGAAAGACATTTAGTCAAGTGAGAGAGCAATAAGGCATCATCTAAGGTTTAGAATAAAAAAGGAAGCAGTGTACTTCTAGGACAGTGATCTTGAAAATAGAATATTGGTACTAGAAAAGATTGTCTGAAAGATTTGGAGTCATATCCAGACCCTGTAGCTTCCTAGCCATGTGACTTCAGGCAAATTGTTTAATTTGCCTCACTCTCCTTCATCTGTAAACCCATCTTTGGAAATATGGTTATGTAGGTTAGATCCTGACATCTGGTACACTGGAGATGCTCATTAGTTATGATTTGCTATCATTAATGCAGGCTGGATTAATTTCCAGGCATACACACTTGAACACAGTAAAATCACAGCACAGCAGGTAGAGATGTAACATTGCTTTAGAACAGAGGTCGGCAAACTATGATATGTGGCCCAAATCCAGCCCACTGCGTGCTTTGGTGAATAAAGTTTTATTGGAATACACTCATACATTTACATATTGCTTATGTCCGTCTTCATGCTTCCAAGGCAGAGCTGAGTACTTGGGACAGAGACCTGCAAAGTCTAAAATATTTTACCATCTGGCCCTTTATAGAACGTTTGCTAACCTTGGCTTTAGAGACAGATTTGTTTGCTTACACAGCACCCCACCAAACTTGCATCATGGGAGCACTAGTAGTGTGGTTGATAATGATTGCTATTACAGATGTGGAGACCACGAGCGTGATAATCAGTTCAAACACACCAACATGAATACTTTTTTGGGGGAAAAGGGGAGAAAGAACAGTACCAAATGTTCAGCTTAAATGTTCCAAAGTGGCCGCTTACTATTTATTTACTTATTAGATTAACCGCTAACTAGCTGCTAATGTGATGAAGGGGCTTTAAAAGGTCAAAAGCCCATCTCTTCACAAAGTGCCCTGCACTGCTACTGGATAAATACTAAGTTATTTCTTGCAAACTTAATCCATTGTACCTGCAGCTCTCACTGAAGGGTACCTCTCAGATTTCTAGAACTCTAGATTTCCATTTCAGGTAGATGGTCTGCTGAACAATATTGGAAAGACAAGTTAAAAATGACAGTTTCTAATGACAGTTTTGCAAACTGCTCCATTATTGCAGTTTGCAAAAGTGCCTAGTGCTCCCTGGTATGCCCTGCAACAGCAATGTGTAAAGTTTTTGGCCTTAGACTCCTTTACACTCTTAAAAATTATTGAGAACCCCAAAGAACTTTTGTTGACATGGATTATGTCTATCAATATTTACCACATTATAAATTGAAACTGGAGAATTTAAAAAATAGTTTTATGGCATATCACTTTTAAAATAATAAAAATAAACCCACTATGTTATAGCAAAAGTAGCATTTTTACTGGAAAATAATTATATTTTGCAAACATAAAAAGAGAAGAATGGCATTATTTTACATTTTTGTAAGTTAGCTATATGACTGGATTAATAGAAGGCAACAGGATTGCCATATTTGCTTCTCCATTGGCTCTGTTGTGATATCAGGCATCATGTAGCTTCTGCAGAACTACGGTACACGTGTAAGAGAATGAGAGTGAAGGTAGAAAATATTGTCTTAGCATTATTATGAAAACAGTTTTGACCTCATGTATTTTTCTGAAAGGGGCTTGGGACCTTGGACCGCACTTAGAAGACAGCTGCCTATAGCACTCCCTTTGCTTCCTTCCTCCCTGGCTTCCTACTTCCCTGAAATACATGCAAACACTACTAAGTCCTCCACATTCACGACCAATCCAACTGGTATTCAGTAACCTTATTCCCTGAAGAAACATTGAAATGTGTGTGTGTGTGTGTGTGTATGTGTGTGTATGTGGCCTTGGGTAAGTCATTTCACATCTCTGCACATCAATGTTATCATCTGTAAAAGAAGGCAACTGCATTAGACCAGAAGCTTTCTACCTGAGATACTTGGATGCCTGGGGTGACCAGAATGACTGCAAAGGGGCTGGAGATCCAGATCTCCTATAACTGTGGTCTGAATTGGATACAGCACATTTTCCCCACATATTCATAATGCAATTTTCAAATGTACCTCGAAATTAGTTGCTGACATGATACTTCTTACCAAATTTTTTAAATTGAGAGCTTTATTTATTTCAGTGGCTTTTAGTCATGATATATTTTCTCTATTAATAGATATGGTATGTTCAACCATTAACATGTAGCTAGCTACAACATCATTGAATGCTAAAAGCTGAAAAGAGATCCTCTTTGAGAATCCCTGGGAGCTATTTTTCCAGCTGTGATGTGAAATAATTGTACTATCTTATTCTGATAAAAGAATATCAGAATATTTGATACCGATATTTGACTACAAAAACACTGGGCAGGTTGCATTTTCCAAAGATGGCTAGCACCATGTCCACTGTCCACATGCTTTCCTACCATGTGACTGTGCCACTCCCCCATCAAGGCATGGAGTCTGACTCCTCTCTCGTTGCCTCTGGGCTAGCCTTATAACTTGTATACCACTTGTAACCAACAGAATGCAGCAGAGGGGATGATGCACGACTTCCAAGGGTACATCAGAAAAGGCTACATACAGCTTCCATCTGTTTCTCTTGGGTGCTCTCTCTGGGAGAAGCCAGCCACCGTGCAGGAAGTGTGACTAACCATGTAGGCACTCTGGCCGAACAGGCCAGCTGAGCCCAGGCTTTCAGCCATCCCACATGCCAGGCAAGTGAGTAAAGCTAGAGTGGTCTCTCCAGACAAGCTCCTCTATGCACTGAGTATCATGAGTGACTTCTGTCAACATCATTAGCAGCAGAAGAATTGCCCAGATGAACCCTGCCTGAATTTCTGGCCCCCATAATCATGGCATATAATAAAAGTGTTGTTCATTTAAGTCACTGGGTTTTGAGGTGGTTTGTTATTCAGCAATAGATAACCAGCACAGTAGTAATGTCTTTGGGTAAGTCATCAAACCAATCACAGCCTTTATTTCCTGAAGAGGCTGTATGAGAAAATCCTTATGCTATCCTCTTGTTTCTTAAATTCTATGCCTTGCCCTCTTTCCACCTGAGACCATTCACCTTCCAGTCCAAACTGAAGCAATGGCTTCTGCTTTGTTCTGAAGAGGGCCTGCTCCTCTCTGGTACCAAGGAGTCTGGGCAAGATACCTGCACATGATAAGGGACCTGGAGTCTGCAGCACTGGGGCACTGAGTCTCAGCAGTGACCAGAGCACTGGGCTATCAGCACAGTCAAGTGGGGAATGGCCATCTAGAACCAGATTAAATGCTACCTGGGGGCTCTTTCAGTTTTGTGAGCAGTGCTTGTTGGAATGAAGGGAAACTGTTCAAACCCCTTAGAGCCAATGAGCCCACCAACAAACCCTGAAGTCTCCTCACACTGTGACCTAAGTCAGAGGACAACTTAGTGGTACTTAAAAGAGACTAGTAGGAAGAAAGAAGGCATTTTAAGCCATTAAATGAGGAGCTTAACACTGCTACACACTGACCCAATGGCTTATAATGGTGCCAGGAAAGACACTACAAAGTGGTTTGGTGAATTATTCTGAAAGCTGGGGATGTGATCAGGAAAAAGAGCATAATTGTCCCGAGGAACTGAAGGTGAAAAGCTTACACCCAACTGAAATCAATGCACACTGTGGCTCCCAGCACCAAGCTCATGGAATGTCAAAAGGTAGCAGTTTGTGAAAGTTTCACACAATCTACTCTGGACACTAAAAAATTGAAATATCATTCACTTATAAGGATAAAGTCTTTCTTGATGTCCCAGGCAGAATGAATTATCCTTTTTAGGACACTCTGGTTACATTTTACTTGTCACACGCTGTCATGGCTGTACTATTATTATATCATTTATTATTTATATTTATGTTTCATTTAGATGGTGAATTGCAGGTTGTAGGTGTGAGAGTGGTTTAAAGCATGTTTTTTTCCATCTCCTGATGCACAGTAAACACACAACAAAGGTTTGGTAAATGACTGATGCATAAGTGAATAAATGAACAAATGAGAGTGAATGAGTGAACACACAAACAGGCTGAGAATTTTTGTGGGTGGAAATGAACAAACTATGCCAGGGCATAAGAGGCTGCTTATGACTTTAGGAAATTGCTTAAGATACTGCTTTACCTATTTCAGCCTAATGCCTGTAAGCAATTAGGCTTACAAAAAATGGTGCCACATCCCAAAGTCCCCTGTTCTCGGGATGTACTCTAGGAAAATGGAGTCCTTTGTGAATACAGTTATTAATGTGATATGTTTTCTGATTAAGGATGTGGTTGAGGGGAAATCATAAATATATGGTGTGGACATTCCCACCTTTTTTTTAAATAAGTAGGGACTGCAGAACTTTTTTCTGTATACATAAGAAAAATATAGCCTGTGCTTGGGTGGAAGATGTGAGATATAATAGAAAGAATACAGATGGGCGTAGGATAGACATGGGGCCAAAATAACAGTTTAAACACTTACGTGGTGGCCCTGAGAACATGTTTCCCATGTTACGGGGAGGGAGGAGGCAACTGACTAAGGGCTTTAGCTATGTTGCTTGCAAACTCAACCCTGAACTTGCGCCAAGGCCTAGCTTCCCATGGGCTGCTCCCAGCCAGTGACTGTATGTCAAGGAGGCCAAGGACTAACTCTACAAATTAGATGTACAGTATGTAGTAAACATTACTGATCTTTGGGGTCTAGTTCTTATGGTCTCCTACAGGTTTGTGATTTTAAACTTCATGCCAAATACTTGGGAACACATTTTGAGCTATGTGGTTACTTTTCCCATAAGTCTTGTTTTGATGGAATTATTTTTCGGTTCAACAAAGTCTTAACTGCTTATTCATGCTAAGATTAACTGGTCTCATTTATCTATTAAATAAGGAATGGGTCAGATAAGTGAAGAGCTTGGTTTAACAATTATGCTCAGTAAAATGGATAGGACTTCAACTTGAACTTGGCCTTGTGATCAGTTCCTAAATTCTGAAGCATTCCTTTTTCTCACGACACTCCATCTAGCCTTAATTCCAGGATATTTGCAGGTGGAGACTACTGAACTTGTCAGGCAGTTTTGGCTCTAGGACTCCTGGATGGCCTTGCTGAACTTTCTAGATGGCATGACATTCCAGTCCACTGCCACCCACCCTTCTTTCCCCCTCTCCTTGGCTCACCAGACTTGCACTATGGTCTATCTGCTCCCCCAGACTTCCTCCTTCTGTTCACTACACAGGCACATTTTCTAACAAAGTCCTTGCGTATTTACTCCTTTCTTGGATTATCTGGACTAATGCATGTGACCTTAGACAAGTTACTTCATCTTTGAATCTCTTTCCTTGTCTACAAAACAGTGTTAATAATGCCTATTGCATGGAAGTTATGTGAATGAATAAATGTGATAATGCATGAAAAGCTTTTAACTCTGGTAAATATAGGTGCTTAATAAATGTCACTTTTCTCCCCTTTCACATCCCTTTTCCTTTAAAATGTCCCTAGCAAGGGGGCTAAATCATATTTACCCACATACATCTGAGCTGTGGCATTTGGGAACAAAATGAAGTCTTGGTGTAATAAAAATGCCCTGTTTTAATTAGAGTCCCTCCCCCATCTCCTTAACTAATTCACAGTTTGGGAAAAGCCTTACTTTTCAGATCTCTCTGAAATCTTTGATCTGTTTAATAATGTGGGTTGAAAGGGAAAACATAGCTGTAGGGGAAAATCTGATTAAACGTTGTGTGTTGGCTTTATTACTTCCTTCAATAAGGTTAATGCCAAACACTTTACCTTGTCATCCAATTTCCGTGCGTTGAATGCAAGTTCGACATAGTCGTCATTGCCAGACAATTCTTCAGCAATCACCTAAAGGAAAAAGCATGCATCAGCCACAGTGGTTAGGCCACTCTGCCCTGAAGTTCACGAACAAATTTTGCTAATACTTGGTTCAAAAACCAAGGAAGTCCCATGCTGGGAAAGGAGTTTTCCACAATGTTAGTGAACATGGCAGAGCACTTCCAGGTGCTCAAGGCAGCTCTCTAGAATAGGCAACAGTAAATAACTAGCTAGGTTTCTTTTATGCTGAGTGTGAGAACACAGGAGATGGGGCAGCAGTTAGGAAGAGCTTCTTTCTTTATGGGTTACATAGCATTGGATGGACTCCCATAAATAATTTTGTATACACACACACACATACATACACTCATATATTTTTCCTTTGGGAGGTTGCAAATAAGGAGAAGCAGTAACATTTCTCCACTGCTTTGAGTCAGACCAACATGGCATGGGAAAATAAACCAGTCCCTACATTCTTTCCAGACCAATGATTATATGGCCATCAAAAATGTCCTAATTCCTATTTTTCAAAAAAGATGCTCCCTGAGCTTTCTGAGACATGAGGATAGATAGATAGAGAGATATCTAAGCCCTTAACTCTCAAGAATAAGACTTCTGACAAGAATTTTGGTATAAGTGAAAAGACCGTGTTACCTAAGAACCTCTTTCATAACAGCACTTTCCAATATTTAATACTCAGTGACTCTCAAAGCCTTGGAGCAGAAATTGGTGGGAAAACTTATGGGAAAAAAGCAGTAACAGCAAAAAATCTAGGGACCAGCCTAGTTGTATATAGCTTCAACCATTTATAAATAATGTTTAGGACTTCACCAAGCATTCAGAGGTGGTAGCATGTGGGTACCCTTATCAAATGGGTTATGTGGAGACACTGATCTTTAATTCAATTATATCTCCACACTATCTGAGCTCAACTTAGCCATTATGAGTTGGGTCCACACTGGTAGCCTCTGGGAAATTTTATTTGACACCGAATATTAAAGCCAAAATGTTTGCCTACTGAGGGAAATCCATCCCCAAACCACCTAAGAAGTAGGAAACATGAGTCCAGATAGACAGTCCAAAACTCAAGAACTTCTTGGTAAACCAGAAACCATCCTATTTAGATTTTTCATTTGATTCTCCTTTGCACCAAACCACCTAATGCCTCTAATACTCCACTTGAGCAGAGATCTTTAACTGTTTTGTGGTCACAGACACCTTCGGAAAGAGGATGAAAGAAAAATGGGCACATATTTTCAAGTGTTTTCCAAAAGCTAACAGAACCATTGTTTGGATCCAAAGTCTCAAGTTTAAGAGGAGTATTTAAGTATTTAAAATTAAGAAGGAAAAAAAGTTTCTGCAAGATGTGCATAAAAAGAAACTCTCCAAGGTGTTTTAGAGAAAAGGTGGCAGAGTGAGGTTTTGTTCCCATGAGAAAGAACTGTGGCAGATCTCACATCTGGGTCTACCACCAAGTTTTGGGATTTGGGACTGAGCCTTTGAGTCCATGGTTTTTTTGAAGCACCCATGGGGTCTTCGAAGCCATTTGTACCATTCGTTCATGATTGAGCATGGCCATCAAGAAAAAGCTTTGATGTGACTGCATCATTTCAAACATTTAAGCAACAAGCTTAGGTAGGTTATTGTAAGAATGCTCATAACCTTCACCAGTAGGAATCCTTTTGAATTTTTCCTTCGAAAAGTATCTTACATTGAAAAAATATAAATCCGTCACTTTCAAGTTCAAAACAAATGTTTAAAGGAACTCAGGAGGTTTGCCTCCTGGCAATTTGCCTCCCTAACAATTTAGATTCTCCTGGTCCTTTTTTTTTCCCACCTTTCACGTATTAATTGATCTTGGTCCACACAGCCAAATGGTTAGATCACTTTCTCTACCTTTTCTCAAAGGCTCTAATACAAGACATCAAAGTTTCAAATCTAGGAAAATCTAAGATTTTATTTAGAAGTACTTCTAGCATTGCCCATAAAACATTCTGCAATCACATAAAGTTTCTATAATATACACTGTTCAAAATAGTAGCTACTTTATTGGTAGCTACTGAGCACTTCATATGTGGCTTGTATGACTTAGCAATGAATATCTCCTTTTATTTTATTTTAAATAATTTTATTTAAGCTTTAATTTTATTTAAGCTTTATATAAGCTTAAATAATCACATGTGGCTAGTGACTACCAAGTAGGACAGCACAGCTCCAAACTATTACATTGACAAAGAGAGTTAAATGCTGGGCTCTCTGGTCTGTAGGCAACAAATCAAACCTTGTACTAAATGCGATTAGAGTAAATTTTTAATTCTCAGGAAAATGAGAGGCAAAGATATTTAGTTTTGACTATTTGAAAAACCCCACACAATTCCATATTTTTACTGAGCTTGCCAACTCCTACTCTGTCCCCTACTAAAACCTATATTGCAATTGCAGAAGTGCTTAGTAAAAGCAAATGGCTTTACTTTCAGATCCTTTTTTCTTTTACCCCTTATTCATAGGTGTAAAAAGGTCACAAGTATATTGGCAGAATGGAGAAATAAGAAAAAGAGAGAGGTAGCTTGGACAGTTGAGCAATTGTGACATCAGGGTCTGCTTCCCACAAGTCTGGTGTGCCCTGAGCAGCTGCACCGGGCACCTGGGCAGCCTAGAGAGGGCTTACCGTGATGGAGGACTTCCCTGCAGTATTCCCATGCTTCAGCAAGGATTTGGACAGCTTTCTCTGGGAGACAATCTGCACAAAGGAAACAAAAGGTGGAGATATAGGTCATATAACTGCAAGTGTATTTTTACATTTTTTCTCTACAAAAGTCTGCATTCACAGCTCTGCTCGGAATTGACATCTGTGTCCATTAATTTTCCAAGGATTGTCCATGAATCTCTCCTAAATACAGGTTACTCCCTGTTTCCTCCTATGGCTTGTGATGTAAGAGAATGTGTGATGAGTTACAGGTAATTCAGTCAGTTAGGAGGTGGCTTAATTGTTGCTGAGGGATTGATATCAAAATTAGATGGCAAATATTGGATATACCTGCATTAAGATAAAGTAGATGAAGTTTCAGAATGATCTCAAATTAGCACTGAAACCTCTGTGCAGAGTGGGGGATGGGGTGCAGGGAGGGAAAGAAACCCAAGATCTAAATATACACCTTTTGTACCTATTGCCTCTATAGTTCTATTTTTAATATAGTCATTAGGAAGCTAGAAAGTAAGTCATCAAGAAACTGATGCTCAGACAAGCCAATGAGAGTAATTGGGGTCCTCTCTATGATTATGTGTTAATGCACAACGTTTGATGACAATGAAAAGTGATACTATATTAGGAGCTTTCTTTAGCAGAACCTGTCCCATCTCTCTGTTCTGCTTTTTCTTCCTTTTTTTGAAAGAGGAATGTGGCAAGGTATTGAGGCCCCGATAGGCATGCTACCCATGATTCCCAAGGAAAAAAGGCTTCAGAGAATCAAGTAAAAACCTTGCTCTTGCCTGGGGAGAGCCAAGCCACCCCTTGGACTGGGTAGATTCTTATGTAATTCCCTCTCCTTGAGTGTGGGATGGATCCAGTGGCTTGCTTCTAATGAAAGGAATACCATAAAAGTGATGGTATATCACTCCTGAGGTGAAGTCCCCAATTGCTGTGGCTCCCTTTTGTTCACCATCTCTCACTCTCTCTCAGAGCCCCCAGGGAGAGCTGTGAGAATCCCTAGAGAATAGTCCATGTGGTCAACACTTTACGTCTCCAGCCAGCAGCCAGCGAGAACCTGAGGCCTGCCAACAGCCACGTGAGTGAGCTTGGAAGCAGGTCCTCCCCCAGGCTGAGCCTTGACATAACTCAACAGAAGCCTGGGAGAGACCCTGATCCAGAGGACCCAGCCACATTGCCCCCCCCCCCCCCCCCCCCCGCTAATTCCTGACACACAGGAACTGTGAGATGTTTGTTTTTTTAAAAGCTGTCAAGTTTGGGGGTAACTTTTTATGCAGTATTAGGAAAACATACATTATTTCCAGAGAGAGAGGAAAAGAGATCACTGGGAAAAGCAGGGAGACAAACCTATTCTCTGAAATTCTTATATATTTTTGCCTCTGTGTTAGAGTGATGAAAATTCTGAGTGGGCTAGTGTCCAATGCAGAAAGTTCAGAGAACATCCCCAGGCTAAGCGGATTTAAAGACACTGATGTTTAGTAGCTATAATCTGAAGGGAAAAGAGTATTTCTGTAAAAAAAAATCACCTGGTGATGATGATGATGATGATGACAGAGACAATGAATGCAATGGGAGCTCCCATTTAAGGAGTACGTATCATGTGGCAGATGCTTTATTCACTCCACAAATAGCCCTTATTGTATGCTGGGTGTGGTGCTAGGCACGAAGAATAGGATGGTAAGCAGAGGTCAGATGCAATTTCTGACCTCTGCTTACCATCAAGCTTATGTTCTAGTGGCAGAGATAGGAAGTAACCAAGTGGCCAAATAAGCAAAGAAAACTCATCACAAAGGAGAGATGCCCTGGCCACGGTAGGGACAATGAATAGAGATGTGTAGGTGGAGGAAAGTAGACCACGTAACAATCTCTTGCAGTAGGTCCAGACAAGAGATGATGGTCATCATGAAGATGAAAAGATGAGGCTGAGATATGCATTTGTAAAATATTCAGAATTTGGAAATGGATTGAATATGGAGAGAGGGAGGCATGTTAATTACATCACTGGATCAGATGCTTATGCCATTCACCAAGATAAAAGACATGAGAAGGGAACATTAAGTTCGCAAGAAAAGAACATGAGATCATGGTTGGAACAGAGCAGGCTGAAGAGAGAGGAATAGGGAAGGAAATGGAGAGAGTACATGAAGATGATTCTTTCAGTAAGGTTGGCTATGAAGTGGGGAAAAGAGATAGAACAGAATCTGAAGGGAATGAGAAATTGAGTAAGGTTTTGATTTAGTTACTTTATTGCTAATTGCACAGACCAACAAATTTGATATCATTAATTTTCCTTTCCAGATGAAAAAAATAGGACATAGGGATTTTAATTAACATTCCCAAGGCCACAGAACTAAGAGGCAGGGACCTGATCACAGGTCTGCCTCCAGGAACTGATCTCTAGCAACATTCTGACGAGAAAGTAAAGTCATGAAACAGATTTAGAAAATTTTCACAGCCAGATTTGTACTAAATGTATTTGCTTTTACCTTGGATCCCTTGTTAGTGTTAGTGTTAGTTAAGGGATCCCGTAATCCTGGAGAAGGTTATAAAGAAATAATCAAGTTAAACCTCGAGAATGAAATAATCTGAAGGCCTTAGTTAGGGCAGTGTAGCATGATGATGAAGAACACAGGGTTTGTTTCTTTACTTTATAGGAGCTATGCATAAAATGACATGAAAAAAATTTCAGATGGCAAAGGAATTGGCTTTCCATCCTATAGCTGTTTCTGAATCCAAATGCCTCACCTTGTTCACCCTACTTATTGAGAAGGTGGCGATTGCTCTCATTCTGTAGGCAAAATTATTTTCCTAGATATGAAAGCTACCATTTCCTAGAAAAATGTGAAAATTATTCTTGAACTGGAGTTGAACCCAAACACAGAAGAAACAGAAAACAAACAGCAAATAGGCATTAGAAGACTGTTCAGTTTCTCTCCAGGGGTTGTTAGCAAGCAGGGCTGAGGAATGATGACAAAAGAACAAATGGCAAAATGAGGGTCACAGGTAAGTAGCAGCTGGGTCAACATCAGACCACTGGAAGGTAACATACCTCATTTCAAGATAAATCCGGTCTCAGAAATACTTCCGCTCATTGTCATTGTGTTTCACCCCATTGGCTACCTACCAGTGAGGCTCCAGGTGACCCCAACAACCCTCTCAGCACTGTAATACCCCACTCTCTGGGTTATCGGGTGTGGGTGGGCTGTCTTTACAGTATGTCTTTTGAGATCCACATTATCATTCTTCAAGGAAGACCAAGGGAGACTTAAACCATGAGAACCTGGATCATCACAGTGCTCTGTCCTCACTCTTATCTAGAAAGGCCAGCATTTCCATTTGTAGGGTGTGAAGAGAATGAATGCTATCTATGTTCCATCTCCTGCCTTTTACAAATTCTAGGAAGATGAGAAACTTCCCCCAAAATATTCCTTCTTCAGATGTGGGCCATTGGGTATACAAATGGCTAATCAAGCAGGCAATTGAACTCATTTTACAGTCCCTAGTCTTCCATCTCAGCTCCAAATAAATGAGTGATAATTAGGGTTTCAAACCTTTCCTTGCAATAATGATCAGCAAACAGTGACGTTGCCATTTTCATAACTGTTGGGAAAAATAGTGGGGATGCCCAGCTGGAGCAGCGATCTGTAGAGAAAAGCCTCTTTGTTTGCAGATATCACTTCTCATGCTTGCTTCGTTGCAGTGGAAGCAACTGTACCAGGCTCAGCAAAGCCTTCAGTCTTGACAAGGGTGAGAAAGAATGGTAATGACTTACCCTGGTCCCAGATGACATTTGAGGACAACAAATAGCCAGCTCTGCCTGGCAACTAGATAAAGGGGAGGCAACTTGTCAGAAGTCCTCTAATTTGATTCCTTTCACCCATTAGTGAGGTCACAGCTACAACTCAGCATTCAACAGAAGGGTGAAATATAGAGGGAGGCAATAGAACTTGGAACACTCTTTTCATCTAAGCTGGACCAGAGGGACATTTGTACCATTAAGTCCTGGAACTGCATTCTCACGTGGATGTGGGGAAGACATGGTTCACCCACCCCCACAAGGCAGACAATATTCTAATACCCTAGGTCCTCACCTTACAAACCATGGGAACAAAGCCAGGAGAATAAGACATGTTTTGGTCAATGTCTCAACAAATGTAGGTATATTCAGCTTAGTTTTCTTTCAAAGTTTTTCAAAACAGCCATTTGGGGGATTAAACAGTTATTTATTTTTCCATGAGATTGCTTTTACTGAACATATTTTCAGATGCTTTTTTGAAATTGCAACAGTAGTAAGGCTCTGTTGCAACAACAAACATTTATTGAAAACTTTCTCTGTGCCAGACCCTGTTCAGAGGCTCCAGTAGTGAAGAGATTAAAAGCATCTTTACTTGACAGTCACATCTCTATCAGCCAGAACTGAGAATCCCCAAAGCATGGATCAGAGACCTTGCATTCCTTAAAGTACAATACATAGTGTATGAAAAGTCTTTCTGTAGCAAGGCTGGAAATCACAGGATTAGAAAAAGTTTGATGTCTGAATTGTATTACATCAATAGAGTTTTAGTGGAAAATACCCAAGGACAACTGTCCACTGAGCATTCCTTACACTTGTTTGCCCCCAGAACCCTTTTGTCAAGCAGCATGTCTAGTGTTCTGAAAACCTCTAGGAGGATGATTGGTACCTAATGTCTCATTGTAGCAGACAGATCCCCACAGGCCTTACTCTGCAGAGCTGGAAGATCATGTCTTTGCCTGAAGGTGTCCTCTAGCATCCATGCCCATTGTCCACAGGCGCAGCAGGTTGGAAGTAGGATGATGAACACCCTTGGGAGTGGACCTCAACCAATGACTGACTATAGTTGGTCCAGGAATCTCCCAGCTCCTTTTCCCCAGGGGTGGGGGTGACTCTGTGGTGTTTGTTCTACATAGGCACCTGAGTTTCCCCAGTGCATGGCATCCCTAATAGAATAATACACACAAAGTTTATGAGTTAAAGCCAGGATTCACTCCTTTATTGGAGCTATAGTTGCTTC